AAAAAAACCCTCCTTTGAAATGTTTTTTAAATTGATTTTTATTTATTTATGTATGTGCATATGTCACATGTATGCTGATGCCCATGGAGGCCAGAAGAGGTCATTGGATCCCCTGGAGCTGGAGTCAGGAGTCACAGGCAGTTATGAACCTATATTGATATGGGTGCTAAGAACTGTCCTTAGGACCTCTGGAAGAACAGCAAGTGCCCTTAACCACTGAGCCATCTTTTGGAGGCTTCCAACTCTCCTTTGACATTTTTTTCACAAGTTCTTATCTACCATCACAACTGCTTGTGCATATGATTGTATTCCCAAGCACAAAAACAGCCTAGACCGGGTGAATTCCGGATAGTCAGTGATTCTTCTTTTTTAAGGACCAGATTATTGGTTTTATCTAATTTAGTGGTCTACCTTCAGTTGAAGTCACATGACTATTTACCTTCACAAGAGGCTCCAAATCTGCAATAACAAGAAACACTTTAGAAATGGAAGAAAAATATTTTAAGGTCTCTCTCACTCCCCATTCCCTTGTGATCAGATGAAGGCATTCAGATCAGATGAAGGCATTCACTAATAGAACAGTTCTATTCACGTTTGGGCTATTTTTTTCCCTTCCCAGAGATCCAATCCCCTGACAAAGTAACTCTACATCTGATAGAGATTCCCAGTTGCATGCAACTGAATCCAACTCAAACCAGCTCCAGAAAATTCCTCCCAGCACCGGCTTGAAAGGCTAAGGCTGAATATAGCCTGGGGCAGGTGAGCTCTCCGCCCTGACTGATCCTATTTGATGGACTCTTCCGATGACTTCGCCAGGATGAGGGAAGACCTCGCCAGGATGGAGAGACTGCTAGGCTGACCAAAGGAATGGCTGTCTGCATCATAACCAAAGACATTTCCTGGTACAGCACGTCACACCTAGGACTGTCTTCTCCCGGAGTTTATTGCTCAGATCAACGTGTTGCAACATCACCACATTCTTGCTTGGTCATGAAGCTGACTGGCTGAGACCATCGGCTTCAGCTCCTCTGGCGCGTCTGTCATGAGGCAGAGGACAAGTTGTCGGCTCCCCTTTCCTGTTTTGTTCCCTTGTGATTCTCTTGTGAGTTTCACTTTTAAAGCAAGGATTTGCTCCTTTGTTTGCTGGCTTGCTTGGTTTTTTTGAAATTTTATCAGGACAGAAGAATATACTATACTTAAATATTGGGAAAAAGAAGGATAAATTCCAAGAGAATTTGAATTTCAGAACTCGCCTGAGGTTCTTGGAACTGCTGAAATGTTCTACAGCTTGGTCATCCATTCATGCCAGAAGATCCATAACTGTCTTTTTCTTTTTGAGACAGCATCTCCCTGTGGCCATAGCTGGCCTGGAACTCACTATGTAGACCAGGCTGGCCTTCCTCTCACAGAGATCTGCCTGCTTCTGCTTCCCAAATCCACGGTCTATTGCAATAGCCCTTGTCAGCAGATGAGGGGCTGGATTTCCGGTGACCAGGAGTAGAGGAGGCTTCAGTCTCCCAGGGAACTGGAATTTGATTGTTTTCCATGAGAGCTGGTAACTAGTGCTTGTTGTTAGCAAAGCTAAACACACTGCTTAGTCATGCCTGTGGCTCCTGAGCTCCCTCATCTCAGTAAAGTCCATAAATATATATTATATGATATATATATTACATATGATAAGTACCCTCCACATTAGGTTTATCTATTCTCTCTCCAGCTGTCCATCCCCCTCCACACTCAGTCTCTCCCCACAGCCAGTCATTAAAAGGCTTTGTCTCAAGAGCCTGGAGGAAAGTGGCTCTTGGTAACCATAGGCAACCATGAGCCCTTGCTAGCAACGTGTGCTGTATTTGTAGGGCGCAGTCTCGCCACTAACCAGGGAGATGAGAAAATGTGCTTTAAAGGTTTTCTTGTGCAGTAAAATCACGGTCTTCCCCTTCTTTCCTTCTCTCCCCATTCCTTCCCTTCCGGTAGAATGATCAATCCATGGGTGAAATGCAGATCATCGGAGGCGAGGATCTCTCAATGCTGGTTGGAAAGGTTTGTTCTTGTAATTTTTGGTATGTGTCGACTTCTGGGGACATCTGTGTGACCCTCATGTAAGGTCAGCACTCCAAAAGCATTTCAGTCACACTCAGGGGCTTGCTAATTCATGCAAATGGATGTGTGAATCCCTTTAGTGATTTCTCCAGTCCAGAACCCTCCCTGCTAGCACACGGTGCAGACCAGATCTTCCCAGTTTCCAGTTCCAGGCTGATTTCAGACAACAAACTCTGGCCGTTGCCCTGTTTCTTTCCCACCCTTCTAGATACCTCCTAAAAAATGAAAGTTTCTCTTTTGTCTGCTTTACACTTAGCACTGCAGTGAGACATGTAATTGGGTTTGTTAAAATGTACAAAATAGGGAAGGAAAAGAGAATTTCTTAAGAGCGCATTTTTTTAGCCCTTTGCTTAAGGGATAACCCCTGCCCCCAATAAAAAGAATGAAACCTAGTAAATTATGGGGAAACATCCAATTTTAATTTGGAGTCCCAAATCTGCCCTTGACTAATTAAGGAGTGAAAAGGCTATTTGGATTTTAACATAAATACTGAGATTCTAAGGAAAGCCTGTTTTATTAAGCAGCCCCAGCTCTGTGGAATGTAATTTGAAATGCAAATTTGCTGGGAATGAAAGCTGCTAGGGACTGCAGAATTGTTTCTGTCACCTGTCCTGACCTAGCCTGGATTCACAGTCCCGGAACTACCTCCACTTCCTGAGTAGGATGGATCCGTCTATTACAGGGTGGCTGTTATTGTTATGCAATCCCCAGATGGAGAAAAAGAACAACAGCCACATTTAGTAAAAATATGTATCATAATACTGGAAACACCCGCGCCACATGGTCTCTGACTACGAAAGTTTCTTCCCCATACTCTGAGACAGCACCTTTGAGTACAAATGTTAATAATGGTAAATTTTGTTCCATGGCAAGTAGAATTAACTAGTTACTGTGAATCTGTCACTCAGATAATTCAATGTTAACTACTACATTCCTGCATGAAATGTCCTAGAAAGCTAAAATACTCAAGGCGATTTCCAAAAATTCATAACTTGTAACACCCCTGGAGTGCTCTTTAAATGATAAGGCATTTGGTTGTTTCCGTACAATTATTACTACACAAGGGAAAAATCTTGTTTGTGCTTTTGCTGAAAGCACTGTCAAAGTGAGAACTCTCAAAAGATTCCACAGTGATGCCAAGAAAAAGTTGTGCATGTAGATTTGTACAACACAGCCACTTCCCATTAGGTTGTGAAGTGATTCCTTCAAAGACCAGAGCTTCTCTCTTAAGTGCTGGTGGGGAGGGGAGGGGGAGGGAATGGGAAGGGAGGAGAGGGGAGAGAGGAGGGGAGGGGAGAGGGGAAGGGAGGGAAGAGGGGAAGGGAGGGGAGAGGAGAGGGGAGGAGAGCATAGCTTCTGAACAGATGAGTGAGCAGGGGGCATGGCAGCTCTCTGGCTTCAGACTGCAAAGACATCCCCCCTCACCCAGTGAGTACAGGGCTTGTGTGGGGGGGGGGCGGGGGGGGTACACACACAGCAGGCAAAGAAAGAAGTTAGCCAGGGTACATACAAGTAGCATCCACTTTCTGCTGACCTGACGGTTTCTTTCAGGCTACTGTGTGTTGCTTAGTTGTGCCTCTACACTCCTGTGTACAGAGATGCATTTCTGTATCTTTAGACATGTGTCAAGTAGAAGCCCTTGTAAGATGAATCAACAATGACTGGCCAGGTTCTCACCTGTCAAACAAGCTTGATTCTGAAGACTGTAGTTCCCCTACAGAGGGGATGCCTAGGTGAGCCAGGGCAGATCACCCCAACTCCCATAAGCCTTCAGCTGTGTCAGGGTATTTGTCCACCTTTCACCTCCCTGGCTACCGTCCAAATCTTGACCCTGCAACTCAAAATATAGTGTAGGCAAGCAAATTTTTCAGTGAAGGGTCGACTGCTAACTATTCTAGACTGTGTGGACCAGCAGTCCTTGGTACAGCTACTCAACTTTGGTGTTGAAGCAACCACAGATAATACAGAAACAAATCATATGGCAGTGCCCCAGGAGGTCCGAAGAGGGTCTTGGGGAGCTGGAGAGATGGCTCAGCAGTTAAGAGCACTGGTTGCTCTTGAGGAGGACCCAGGTTCAGTTCCCAGCACCACATGGTGGCTCACAACCATCCTAACTTCAGTTCCAGGGGGTTCCGACACCTTCTCCTGACCTCCACAGGCAGATGCACTTACACACATGCAGGCAATACACTCATACACATAAAATAAAAATAATAAATAAAATATTTTTTAAAACTTTATTTACAAAAACAGAGACAAGGCCAAATTTGGCCCATGAGATAGCAAGGTAATCACCACCTAGGAGCTTTTTAGAAATGCCGAATCTCAGAAGCTCCTGAGTTAGTAATCCTTTTCAACATCCCTGGATGATCTCTGCTTACTTTAAGACTTGAGAGGCACTGGATGTCCCCACTACTCATCCCAACCCCCTTACCCCACCCATCCTCCAGGTGTCCTCAGAGCCTAACCAATCTCTTTGAACTTCAACCTTCAACTAATTCCTGCCCCTTCAAACCATTCTCCACAAAGCAGCCCAAGGGACCCTCTTAAAATACAAATGGGGCCAACTGAAACCTTCCAGTGGCCTCTTAATTAGGAGTTGCCAGACTCAACAAAAACAAAACAAAAAGCAAGTCACCCAGCTATATTTCAACTTCAAATACTGTATAAAATTTCAGTATAAATAATGCTATACATACTTAGTATAACTATGTTTTGTGTGATATTTGAGACATATCTATACTAAAAATTTATTCACTGATTACCCAACATTGAAATGTAGTTAGGTGTTTGCATTTTCTCAGTAAGCCTTATTTCGTTGCTCAGAAATGCAATCCAAATTCCCTACTGCAGGGAGACCTTCTGATCCGGCTGGCAACCCCCATCACACTGTCATACTTTGCTAGCCTCATGGCCGTTAGACCTCCACTAGCTAAGAGCTTCCGGGCGACCCCTTGGACAAGTTGTGGCTTCTCCCCTGAACCCACATCCCTCCTCACTTTTGGGTCTCAGCCCAATGTCTGCTCCTTACAGGATGACCTCTGCTCACAGTGTGGCGCGAATCCTCTACCATCCCCTAAGCCCCAGTTAGTCTCTACATGCAAGCCCCATTTCCTTAGAGCGCTTTCCACAACTGACAATATAATGCTTACTTAGGGGCTTATTTTTATTTGCCTTTCCCCACCAGAGAGTCAGTGTGAAGTGGGCAGGGACCACCTTGTTCACCATCCCGTCCCCAGCCTCGGTTACACAGCCTGGCCTATCACAGGTTGGAATAAGTTGCGGGGGGGTATCATCTTCCATAGAAATCACAAAGTTTTTGGTTAATTTTGAGGGAAGACATGACAGAGAGAGATGTTAGATTTAAGTCAAATTGGCAATTCTTCGGGGGGCAAGTGATAGGGTTCAGTGTGGAATTTATCTGGTTAGTTCCCAGAGAATGGTTGGTGGGCAGGGGAGGGGTGGTGGTGACTGAAGTTAACGCAGGTAAGAGCAAAAGGACGTGTCAAATTAGAGAATGGTTGGTGGGCAGGGGAGGGGTGGTGGTGACTGAAGTTAACGCAGGTTAACTGGATTTACTTTAGGGCTGGAGGAGAAAAGTGTGGCGTGGAGAGGGCTAAAGGGTGGGCAGTGTGTTGGAAGAAGCTTAGAGGAAGTGAACGCTGTGTGGGGCGGGAGGAAAAATGACGCTGGGACTTAGCAAGCAGTCCCAAGCAGCAGAGCGCTGGCCTAGGGTTCACAAAGCCCCCCACCCCACCCCCCCACCTCCCCGGATTGATGGCCAGCACTACCAAAAAACGAGTGAAATTTTTTATTTACCTTTTGGGATGTCCTTCTCCTTTATGGATGAGGACACTGTATGAGTCAGACTTTTCAGTGCTGTAGAAAAGATGAGAAGACAACTAAAAAGAGGAAGACACATACATTGGACTCAGTTTCAGAGGCTGTAGTTAAGTCCTTTGGCGTGTGTGAGGGGAACACCATGATGGAAGGTGTGATGAAGGAGGGCTTGCTCAACTCATGGTAGCAAACAGAGAAACAGGGAGGGAGAGAGGGAGGGATGGAGGGAGGGACGGAGGGATGGAGGGCCTTTCTCTCACCTGTTCTTCAGTCTTACCATCCAAGGAGAGTTTGTAAGAACTATCAAAAGAAATTCCAGGGGGCTCGAGAGATTGCTCAGCAGTTAAGAGCACTTGTAGATGACCTGGGTTCAATTCCCAGCACCCAGGGGAATTCCCAGTTCCAGGAGTATCTGACGCCCTCTTCTGACCTCTGTGGCATTACATGACAGGGGTGCACTTACACAGGTGCACATGACACATGCAAACAATACAGTCATACACATAAAATAAAAATAATAAATAAAATATTTTTAAAGAAAGAAATACTCCCCACTAAACAAAAGTTTCAGAGGACCTATAAATCCATCATGTGGGGAATGCTCTGAAAGAAAAGGTTCTTCACGTGACTCATGTGGCAGCTGTCTGTAACTCCAGTTCCAAGGGATCCAACAGCCTCTTCTGTCCGTGGGCATTGCACTACATGGGTGCACTTACCTACATGCAGGCAATACACGAGTACATATAAAATAAAAATAATAAATAAAATATTTCTTTTAAAAAAGAAATTCCATAATCTTCCCAGTCATGCAGGATGTACACTAGCCAGAACAAATTTAGAATAAGGCCCTCGTGGTGGCGCACACCTGTAGTCCCAGCACTTGGGAGGCAGAGACAGGCGGATCTCTGTGAGTTCAAGGCCAGCCTGGTCTACGTAGTGAGTTTCAGGACAGCTGGGGCCACAGGGAGACCCTGCTTCAAAAAGACCAAAAAAAAAAACAAAAAAACAAAAAACGCCCTCAACACTCAATGAGTCCTTGTTTTAGTGGTTATGGGAAGTCTAAAACTGTAGTAAACGCCCACACTGGACAGCAGGCTGTTACCAGGTCACTCTCATGTTCCTGTCAGACTTTCCATCAGGCAGTCAACAAATGTGCATGCTCTAACCCTACAGGAACTTGCACTTGCCTTCTCTCATTCAGCCATCAGCACCAACTTCCTGAGTCTTTCCACCCCAAAACCCCTTTCTTTGGACTTAGAAAAAATCTGAAGAAGGAAGGAGTCTTGGAATTGTAATAATCTTAGAGAGGTGGAGGTGTGGGAGTGACACAGGAGAGAGGCATGGTGGGAAGCTGGGCAGGTCTGCACCTGCCTGACTACAGGAAGCAGGAACAAGGAAATGACAAAATATCTGATGGTGGACATTGTTTGGGTTTGTAGAGCAAATTGAGTGTCTCAGTGAAGAGTTGGATTGGCTGATAAAAGTACAGAGGAGTCAGAGGTGTCTGGGCAGAGGCAACATCATGGAGCTGTCAGGGATGAGCCTGACCAGGTGGAGGGAACTGTGAGAAGGAGGAGGAAGTGGCAGGAGGAGGGGTCAGCAAAGCCCGCTGGAGAGGTCACCCACAGGATGAGGATGTGGAGGAAGAGGTGCAGCAAAAGGGAAGGGAAGGAATAGAAAAGGGCTTTAACTGAATGTGTTTATGAAAGAACTTGAGAAAACACCTGCAAACAGCCCGCCTGCTGGGTGACTTCTGAGGCCCTCCAAGACCCGAGAGCTAACACAGGAAGAAAAAGCAGACCCTCTCTCTCTCACTCCCTCCCTCCCTTCTCTCTCTTCCTCCCTCCCTCCCTCCTCTCCCTCCTTTCCTCCTCTCTCTCTTTTTCCTCCCTCCTTTCACTTTCAGGAGAGGCTAGCTGGCTGAGTCATGGTTCTAAATAGGTCAGTGCTGCGAATAAAGGGAGCCCTCACCAGTTCAGTTCACTGGCCTCTCCCATCCAGTGGTAAAAGCGTTTACTCCCAGTGCTTAAGGTGTCTGCACAACGCATTGCATTCTCTGGTTGATTTTTTTTTCAAAGTTGATTTAATCCTGGCGCTTATAAGATATGTGAATCCATTTAAGCAGGAAGATTTTATTCATTTCCAAGAGAAACCTCTGAAAGGGTGGAATAAAGTCAAACCCAGGAAACAGGCCCAGATCTGGCAGGGAGGAAACACAGCTGTGCAGGTTTTCAGGACAAACGCTCCCCAATCACAAATAAGTTTCTAATCAAATGCCAGAGGGAAGCATCGCAGCTTGCCAAAGTCTCGCCTTGGCTGGCTTCACTCTTTAAATCATCCCTTTTTATTACCTCTGACTAGGCTAAGAACAGCGGTGGCAATGCCCCCTGACGATGACGCTGGTAGTTTTGTGAACTAACACATAAAATGAAATGCTCAGCAGCATTTCTCGGTGAGGTTTAGATCCACACTGCTCCTCATGGTCGGCACCCCCATGCAGCCTACCTTTGCCACGCGGGTCCCTCTGAGCGTGATCACACCCACAAAACCTTGTTGCTGCTGATGACTGGTTTGTGTTTTTCTAAGCTTAAAAGTAGGAATGGCCTACTTAAGAAAACTATTTGTGATTATACGATCCTTGTCTTCTTTCTTGCTCATTAGGAAGCTCAGTGTGATTGACTTTGCTCAGACCGCTCGCTGAAGAGAGAGCCCCCCCGTGGAATTTTTGCCTGCAGCCTCCGCTGATTTTACTGCCTTTCTGGGAGGAAGTGAGTTAGGTGTGATGAAATGACTAAGACAGTAATTGGCAAGCATCTCAGAGTCAGTGATCGGAGTTATCAGATGGGAAATGTTTGGAAGCACAGTGCGTTCTGAAAAAAATTCCCAAGGTTGCCCACTCAGAAAATGGGAATTTTAGAAGATTGCTTTGAGCAAAATTAAAGCAGTAGACAGTAACAAAAGGTCGGTTAGGGAGGAATTGCAGATCATCAAGGAAAGATGGAGGCGATGTGTCATGAGTAAAATGAGCTATGGAAAGTGAAAGAAATGAGTCAACTCCCTCATTCATTCTGCAGTTTTCCTTCCTTCCTCTCTCCCTCCTGCCCTCCTTCCCTTTTGCCTGTCCGTCTCTTCCTCCCTCCTTTCTTCCTTCCCTCCCTCCCTCCCTCCCTCTTTCTTTCACAGGGTCTTCCTATATAATTCAGTTGACCTCAAATTCATGATCTTCTGCGTCTGCCTCCCAAGTGCAGGGATTGCTAACGTGCACCACAGCACCCAGGGCACTCGCCTTCCTGGCTGGCCTTCTACTACCTGTCAGTCCCCATGTTCTGTGCTGATCAGACAGATGGAATACGTTTGTTCCTTAGCTCTTGGATCTGATCTTGGTCACATGAAAACATAAATAGATGTGTTGTGTTCCCTTAGACACTAATGCAAGTGCTTCCAAGGCTGAGAAAGTCACATCTTCTCTACCTCAGGCCTTCACACCGCATCATCCCATGATAGAAAGCAAAAGACAGGAGAGGGAATGAGAGGGCAAAGGGTCTAGCTTGCTTTATAGCGATCTGCTCTTGTGACGGCTAACCTGCTCCTTCAGTGGTGACAGCAATCCATTCTTGAGGGCAGAACACATGATCGGGTCACCTTTTATTGTCCCCACCTTCCAACAATTAAGGTTCCAACACATGAACTTCGGAGAACACATTCAAGCCACAGTAAGATCCAATGTGTGGTCTTAGACTGAACAAGCTACAAAGGTGTGATTAAGCCCAACTGGAAGAAATTTGAATATGTAAAACATTTTGGTTAGATGTGACATTTTGGCTTTATATACTAGAGAATGCCATGATGTTTAATCTATTTTAAAATACAAAAGAACGGGGCTGGAGAGATGGCAGCAGTTAAGAGCATTGACTGCTCTTGCAGAGGACTCGGGTTCAATTCCCAGCACCTACATGGTGGTTACGAACGGTCCTTAACTCCAGTTCTAGGGGAATCCGAAGCCCTCTTCTGACCTCACGGCATTGCACTATATTTTTTATTTTATTATTTTTATTTTATGTGTACGAGTGTATTGCCTGCACTGCATATAAATAGGTGCACCCATGTCATGCAGTGCCCATGGAGGCCAGAAGAGGGCATTGGAGCCCCTGGAACTGGAGTTATAGATGGTTGTTAACCACCTTGTGGGTGCTGGGGAGCAAGCCTGGTTCCTCTGCAAGAGCAGCCAGTGCTATTGACCTCTGAGCCATTTCTCCAACCCCCTCACTTTTAAATTCTTTAAACAGTTATATACACATTAAAAGTTTAGAAAAACTTAGGGATGGAATGTAGCATGGTGATAGAGCACTTGTTTGCCTCTATTTGAGGCCCAGAGTTTCATGCCCAGCACTATCACCCAGAAAATGGAGGAAGAAAGAGGGTTAAGGAGGGAAATTTTCTGTGTTCAAACATGATTTGAATATGTTTTAAAAAATCAAATTAGCTATATAAAAATGTTACTAAACATATCAGCCTGAGGCTAAAACACTTGCCTAGCACGAATGGGGCCATGTTCAGAGTCTCAGTCTTCCAAAAAAGTTTTTTAATGTATGTAGTTTTAGAAATGTAAAATACATGCTCATATGAGAGACATAGTAGGGGCAGCCAGCAAGACACTAAGAGTTCAAGGTGACTGCCTCTGGGGAGCCAGCTTTGGAGAGAGGAGAGGTTTAGTGGGAGAAGGTATTTTTCTTTAAAGCTTTTCGAACTTAAGATGTGTTATGTGATGTTGACAGTGTATCTCAGGATCAGTCCACATTTATCGCACTTTCTACCACACTCTCCTAGAGTTGTGGTTGAACTTTTCAAAGATGACTTCTAAACTATCCAGAAATAAAAAGGACTTAATTACTTTCAGTGCTTTCTACTTAGACAAGAATGCAAACCAACATATTTTAGAAAACAAATTATTTATATAATTGAACCCAAAGGAGATTGTCAACCAGGAAATTCAATTAACCACAATATTTTCTAAGCATCCTACCTGGCTAATAGGCTTGGTCCAGCCTCAATCAAACTAAAAATGAATGTCTCAACTAACTTGGACTGATGGTAAAGGCTATAGCAAACCATGTTCAAAGTGCTCTGTCAGTGTGAATCTCAGGGCATGCGATGCCCTGACTACCGTATGACAGCAGCAACTAGAGGATGCAACGGCTTCAAAGCTGGACAGTGTAACCTTTCATCTTGATGACAAAAATGTATGTTTCTGGCAAACAATTGATAAAAATGGCAAACCATGGGGGCTGGAGAGACAGCTCAGCGGTTAAGAACACTGACTGCTCTTGTAGAGGACCTGGGTTCGATTCCCAGCACCCACACGGCGAGTATGAACCATCCTTAACTCCAGTTCCAAGGAAATCTGACACCCTCTTCTGACCTCCACAGCACTGCACAACACGGGTGCATTCACATACATGCGGGCAATGCACTCATACACATAAAATAAAAATAATAAAGAAAATATTTTTAAAAAAATGGCAAACCTAAGGGAAAAGCACTTCCAGAAGGCAGTTTTTACCCATTTGACATATGGAAATGTAAATTTAGTCTGGTTCTGGTCCAAGTGAGTAGTTAACATTTTTATCAGATATAAATAAGAAATTTACTGTGTAAGATTTGATCCTGTATTTAAAGTGTTCTACAAATCAAGGGTAAATGAAAGATCATCTAAAGAAACCCCCAGGGGGCTGACGACATGGCTTAGCAGGCAAAAGTTCTTGCTGCCAAGCCTGAAGATCTGGGTTCAATCCCTAGACCCTATAGGACAGAAGGAGAGTACCCTAAAGCCAAACCTTAACCTAATGTTAGCCCTAAACATAACACTAGTCCTAACCCTAACCGAGCTGTAAATTTATCCCTAATCCCAACACTAAACATAACCTTAACCCTAACCCTAGCGAACCCTAAACCTAATCCTAAACCTGAGCCTAACCCTACATGTAACCCCATCCCTAACCCTAACCCCAATCCTAACCCTAAACAAAACCTGAGATCCAGGACAGAGAGACCCAACTTCCTCAAGTTGTCCTCTAACCTTCACATTTGAGTTGTGGCATTCATGTGCCTACACCCATACATACACACACATTTAATTAATTTACTGTAACTAATTAAATGTAAGGAAATTTTTTTAAAATTACTTTCAGGGAATATTCTTTCCACTTAGTTAATTGGAAGAACGCAATAATAAGTGATAATTTGATAGGACAACATTGATTACTACTAATCCAATTAACTGGTTGATTTTAATTTGTTACTAATCTTAACAATTGTTATTCTTTGAACAAATAATTATTGAGCATCTACATGCAGGTAGGGTCTGGAAATGCGGTAGTGAAAAGACAAAATCTCTACCACGTGGAGTTTAGTATCAAGAGGGAAAGAAGCTGTCTAGTAAGAAATAAGGAGGGAACATAGTGTTGTTTGTAGGGGAAAGGAAATGGTGACCTTGTGAGCCTGTAGCAGCCAATCCCACCAGGTCAGTACAAATTCACACCAGTCCCCTCAAAGCCCTTCCTTTCCCCACGCCCATCTCTTTCCTTGGAGTTGAAAATTGAGGAGTAGATACCAAGTCCCCAGGCATTTGGGTGGCTACATGGGAATGGAACTGTCACAACTCAATGTGTGATCATCTGTAGAGTGCGTCCGTTAGCAATGCCGTTTACTTGGCTTGCTTTGCTGTTGAACTTGGAGTAAGTTTGGCATTCCAAAGAAATGCATCTTTGGGGGAGGAGGGCTGTGGCAGAAGCATTGAGTTGGGTGACTTTATCCTGGCTGGCTGCAGAGACAGGAAGATCGCACAGAAGCCTGCTACTAACATGCACGGAGACCCTAAAACTGCAGCACCTAGTGACTCCACAGGGATGGTTCAAATGAACCTGGGCTCCTTAGATTACCTCTAATTGTTTGGATTCAATGGATGGGGAAGGACCAGCTAAGCACACTGTGAAATTCTAACTGTAAGCAAAATATATGTTTATCTTGTGGGTCAGATTCTTATCATATTCTGACGCGCGTGTGTGTGTGTGTGTGTGTGTGTGTGTGTGTGTGTGTGTCTGTGTGTGTGTGTATGTGTTTTTCAGAACGTCATTGTTGAGGTAAGCTGATTTTTTTCCTTGTCTTTATTTGGAAGTTAAAAGCCTCTAACAGTGGGTTTTAAAATGCTGACCTTGTCTATCAAGTACTGAGTCCCCACTGTATGTGGCCCTTCAAACTTTTTGAATAGAAGCCAGCCCAGCCATAAGTCAGTGGTTTCCACTAAATCAGATCAATGCTTTTCGATGACTAATTGGTAGTTGGTTCTGTTTCACGTTTGGTTTCACATACATTTCCCTACATTGGTTCTTACATGGATTTATGAATCATACAGTTGTAGAGAAGAGAAAACTAGTTTCCAGAACCAGTAAATAAATTTACAGTTACATTTATATAACAGGAAAACCAAGGTTAGAACGCTCTTGGCTTAATGACCTCTAATGCTTTTAATCAATTCTCAAGTACTTTCAGCCTGAAAATCATAAATTTAGTCAATTAAAAATGGCAATGTAGACCGGGCATGGTGGCACACGCCTTTAATCCCAGCACTTGGGAGGCAGAGGCAGGCAGATCTTTGTGAGTTCGAGGCCAGCCTGGTCTACATAGTGAGTTCCAGGACAGCTGGGGCTACAGGGAGACCCTGTCTCAAAAAAAGACCAAAAAAAAAAAAAAAAAAAAGAAGGCAATCTAAGGGAAAGTTATGATTTAAAAAAAGAGAAGCAGACAAAGCTGTCCTCTGAGGACAGTGGACCCCCACAACAAATAGTCACATTTCCCTCAGGAGTGCTTCTGTCTACCAGCCAGCAAAATTTCAGGGGCACTTTTTGTCCTCCGGCTGTTGTTTCTCATTTTTCTCATTTACCCAATGTGGCCTTCGGTATGACCACACAACCCATGAAGGAGACCCTCCAGCCAAATGAGTCGCCCGACCCTGGCGAATCTCAAACCTGTTGTGTTGATGATCAGCTCCTGACAGCTGAGTTCTGTCCGGAGGACAATAAATCGCAGCGGCCCATTCTGTGCAATTGTGCAGCAGCCGCTCATCAACCGAGGAGACCCCAGGCTTAGTGCAGCCCTGGAGCTCAGAACGCAGGGCTGTCGCCAGCTGCTGCCCAGACACATTTCGCTTCCCAGCCACCGCATCCCCCATTGAGCAGGGAGGCGGGAGGCCGAGGAGCTACTTATCCATTCAGTATATTCAAATGTACATCCCACATCCATGAAAATTCATGCACCTCTTGTATTGTGTAACCTAACCTGGGGCCAAATTTAGTCCCTGAATGTGCATGCACGAGTCTCCGTGTACCCTGGAAAGAGGGCTCTGCACACGGCTGTCCAGAGGTTGAACCGAATCCTTCAACACAGCTCAAGGCCACAAGAAAAAAACATTCACTAACACAGTCTCCAGCTTCCTAGAAGAAATGCCTGCAAAAACATAACCGATTCTGCTTCCTGTTGGTTAGCATTTGTAATTAACATGCATTATATTAATAAGGAATGTCTTTCCACGTGCAGAGTGTTATGCTGTGCAAATATGCTTTTGTTGACCTTATCTGCTTTTGCTAAGGATGTTGTTGGAACTGGGAGGACCATGAAAGCTCTGCTCAGCAGCATCGAGAAATACAAGCCCAACATGGTGAAGGTGGCCAGGTGAGTCAAGACAGCACAGCACTGGGCTCTGTTCTAAGAAAGACCAAGAGGGACCCTAGCACAGGCTACTGGTCCAAACCACTCGTCCTGTACCTGCCAAGCTATGGTTTGACCAAACAAACAGCCTGTGTGATTGCTAGCTCAAGACGGGATGGGGAGAGGAAGCCGTTGGAGGGGAGCCTCTCTTCACCTGCCTCCATGAGCGGCCTCCGGAGCCCTGTGCAGTTGCCTGGTTCTCAATCATGATGCCTTGCCGCAGCTGCCAGGGCAGGAAATAAAGTAAGGCTGTGAGGGTGCTCCATAGACCTGAGGGGGAAAGTACATAGTTCAATGATGTTTAATTCTTTTCCAGTTCACAGACTATTGAGATGACTAAAGTAATTTTTTTGTTCTTTAAACGGCAGTTTGTTGGTGAAGAGAACAGCTCGAAGTGATGGCTTCAGACCCGATTGTAAGTGTTTCAGGTTTGGGCTGGCTCTTTGGTGTTGGTGTTTTGTGAGACCAACAGTCCCACAGATTTCTCTCCTCCACCTCATGAAGGAGGCTAGAACTCTGGGAGTCTTACATCTTCCTATTTACATTTTTCACAGCAACTCCATTCTATACAATGGCTCCATTTTGTTCCTTGTTTGTTTTTAGGAATCTCACTATAAAGCTCAGGCTGACCTGAAACTGGTATCTACCCTCCTCTCTTGGCCTCCCCAGTGAGCTGGGATTACACACCCAGATGCATAGGATATTTGTGTTGTTAGGTTTTATGCAATTCATCACTTTGAGGTGGGAAGACTTACTCCCTTGGATTGATTCAGACATACGGGATCCCTGACTGACAGCTATTCTCACCAATCAAAGAAGCACTTCAGAGATCAAGAAGGGTTCTCCTACCACCTTCCAAACAGTGTACCTTTAACATGCCTGAATTTAAGCACAGAGAAGGGGAAGTCCGAGACATCTCCCTACCACCTCCAAACAGAAGTCTAGACACAGAGCATGGGGAAGGAGACCTCGCTAGATACCATCATCCTTCACACTTGACTTCCGACTTAAGCTCTCAGGGGCTTTCCTTATCCAGGGCTCCATCCCCTCCTTCCCACAATACAACTGGCTCCTTTGCCAGGAAGGATAGACAAGCTGCTGAATTATTTATTATTCTAACACGAGAGGTGATTTTTTTTTTCACTTGCATAAGGCAGACTTCAGCTAGATTTTTCTAACTTACATTTGCTCTAAAACCCCTGGGAAAATTTAGTTCCAATTCTCATCGGCAAGCTGAGCAAACACTAGACAGAGAAGCTCAGTATGGAAGGGTCACATGCCAAAGAACCTTCATTCTAAAGGCAAGTCCCCTCTGCTGGATTACTGGCTGCACACCAGGTCACTTCTGGGCAGAGAGAACCAATAGCATGCTCCTGTTGGTTACCAGCTTTGGAAATCTAATCTGTCACTATTGTTATATGAGGTTACTAAGAATTTTTGTAAGGAAATTATATGATACTCAGTACTAAACATTGAAAAACATGGGCCTGGAGAGGTGGCTCATTGGTTAAGAATATATACTGCTCTTACAAAAGACTGGAGGTCAGTTCCCAGCATCCATATCAGGTAGCTCACAACTGCCTATAACTCTAATTCCAGGAGATCCAACACCCTCTTCTGGTCTCTGTGGGTAACTGCACTCACATGAATACACACACACACACACACACACACACACACATAAGAAAAAGAAATCTTTTTTTTAAAAAATAGACAAAGACATTCGTGGTGACACATGCCCATAATCCTAACACTCAGGAGGCTGAGATAGGAGGATCATGAGTTCAATGCCAGCCTGGACTATAAAGAGAGAGCTCATTTCAAGAAAACAAAACAAATAAAATTTATCAGTTATAAATTTCTTGTGTCATCTGTAACAATAACATAAAACAAGACTGCTGAGGCTGGAGATGCGGCTCAGTCATAGAGCACTTATTTAGTATACACAAGACATTTTTAAATGCTATTTTATTTATTATTTTTATTTTATGTGTATGAGTACAGTGCCTGCATGTATATAAATGCACCCATGTCATATGATGCCTGTGGAGGTCAGAAGAGGGCATTGGATCCCCTGAAACTGGAGTTACAGATGGTTGTTAGTTGCCATGTAGGTGCTTTGGAATAGAACCTGGGTCCTCTACAAGAGCAGTCTGTGCTCTTAACTGCTGAACCATCTCTCCAGCCCCAACACACAGGCATTTTTTAAAAATGATAGCAACTCACACTGAGAGGTTACAATGTGCCAGGTAATGTTCACGTAGGTATATGGGGATTATTCCTTTAGTCTTCACAACAGCTCTCTAGAGGGATCTGCTACTGTTACACCCATTTGACAGATGAAGAATGCAGCAAGGTTTCACAGCTTGCCGGGTCCACATAGCTGATAGAAGAGGGCCAGTGATGAGCCCAGGTAGTCAGATTCAAGGAGCTGTACTCACCAATGAATGATGGGCCCCTCTGGTTCCTGAGAGTCCGACTGACTCGTTGCTGATTTTTCATTCCATTACATCACAAAGTTCACCCTCTTGCACCGGCTTTGAGCTTTGGTTTTCCCAGTTGGAATCACGACACACTGAAGGGGTTGCACTACTCACCACACGGTCTAGTACTGTCACAAGTAGGATTTCCCTGGTTCTAGTCATGCTCTTTTAGCATGACAGAATCTATCTCTTCCTTCTCTCTGGGTTGCAAGACTACACGTTCTCTCAGATATTGATGTCCTTCCTTCTAACCTTGATTCTACCCTTTGAATTTGTTTTTCTTTTTTTAGACGGTCTTGGTGTGTAGCCCTGTCTGGCATCAAACTTAAAATCCTCCTGCATTGGTTCGGCAGGATCCTCCATGCGAAAGTATCTTGGGTCATAAAGATCAAAGCAGTGGCACATAGTAGTGTCTGTGCTCTTAGCCTCACTGGCTGTACCAAAGTGCAGTTTTATATGAGTATGCATACATATCTCTCTTCTATTGTATTATAATAAATGCACTTGCAAGATCCCAGAATACTGGGGGCTGGAGAGATGACTCGATGGTTAAGAGCACTGGCTGCTCTTGCAGAAGACCCAGGTTCAGTCCCCAATACCACATGGCACCTAACGACCATCCATAACTCCAGTTCCAAGGGCTCCCACAGTTTCTTCTGGCCTCTGTGGGCATTGCACGACACAGGTGCACTTACATACACACAGGCAAAACATTCATGCACATAAAATAAAAATAAATAAACAAAAATTTAAAAAGATTCCAAAATACTGAACTACCACTGGGCCAGGCACATTTAAACTGTCTAAAGATCTCTGAGGAGAGTTATTGTCTGTTCTTTAATAAAAACTCATCTTCCTTTCAATACAGTCTTCCTTTGCAGAACCCAAGTGCCCTGTGCTGCATTTAAATCATTTCCTCTAATTCTGCCCTCAGCGCACACAAAGAGTTGGTTAGGATCCTCTGCATTGTAGACGCAAAGATCAGCATTAACATAACCCTAAGCATCATCTCTCTCAAGCGGAACAAGCCCATTGCTTCTCATTTTGTGTCCCAGGATTTCTTCCCTGCCTTCAACCAGCTGAGGACAGTGACACCGTGGGAAAAGTGCTTCCCCCTGCCGCAGCCTCACTCCTAGCTATGTACACAGCGCTCTGACGCTTTCTGATTGAATGATCCTTTTTGCCCTCGGAGCCTTTCTTTAGGTATTATGTCATTACATACTGCTAGCTTTGAGCAGGACCTCAAGGCTAACTCACACGCCCTTCCTGCCATCCTTGGGGCCTCCTGAACCCTTTCTCAGCTCTGTCTACTTCGAGGCTCACTTTTCCACGTGCGTGCTTGCTTGCCTTGTGTCCCCAACCAAGCATTCTGGTCCAGGAACACTCGGGGCTTGTCCTGCACACTGCCTCCACAACTCACTTAGGGCCCACCATTCAAGTACCACAGCAGTGTATGTAACTGTATAGCGATGTGCTCTAAACTGCGTTCCTTCCTTTCTTTCTGCTAAGATGCTGGATTTGAGATCTCAGATGTGTTTGTAGTGGGATATGCCTTAGACTACAACGAATACTTCAGAGATCTGAATGTAAGTGTTGCATGCAAAACCCTAATCTCCTTTGCCTAAGAACTTAAGAGTAGCATCAATTTAACAAACTGCTGAAATAGTAATAGTAATGACTGACTAAACTTTGTGTTAGGAATCCACTGAGCACTTTATGAGGTACTCATAATTCATTCTCACACTACAAGATGGGGGTTAGGGTGATGGCGGGACATAATGCTTATCTGTATTTTGTCCTGAAGAAAGGAAAGAACACTGACTCCACACTGATTTTTCTCTGTACTCATCGGCTATACCCAACCAGCCACAATAAACAAACAATACTCTGTATGTCAGTTCACGTCAGTGCCTGGAATCTGACAGATTCCAGTTACGATTGCCATGCAGCTCTGAAACTACTCCATGTCAGGGAAGTATTCTCAGCACACAAAAAGACCTCAAGCACAGTGCCCAGCTGCATGACCCTGATCAAGCCTGAGTGATCTGGAGGTGGTCATCTTACCCAAAATGGCCAATCAGTGTCTCATTATCAGAAATTAGAAACTTAAACCAAAAGCCACCAAGACAAAGTTGGGATACAAGGACTGTCATGGTGATGCCCAGCACAGCCAGTGCAGCAGGTTACAGGTTCTGCTGCTGCCCCCCATCTAGTCGTTTCGCTGCTCAGCTCCTTCACAGCCCTAACAAATTTCTTGCTGTCCAAAAAGGGTCCAGTAAGGATCCAGGCTGTGTTTCCCACTATATTTTCTCATTTCATTCAAGCAACTGTCACGTCACTGGTAGAAGACGTCTGGCCCCACCAGGGGCAGCCATACAGTGGCCTCAGCATTTCTACTTTTGGGGGATCTAGGAGCCAGATACAGACAAGAGCCCCAAGCTAAAACAACAGAGAACCTTTTGTCAAGCATGGAATGAGTCTCTAGATTCGTAAACACATATAAACAGACACATTCGGTTAGATGAACAGTAACCTATGAGACGCCATCCTGCTACGACTGCATCATATTTTCTGTACATTATATTTTGTTTAGAAGCTGATGCCAAAGGGGATGAGGGAGGACCCACAAAACACATGTTTGTTTGACAGTGTCATAAAGGTGTCTAACACATTATATGCTGATTAAAAAATAAAAATGCAACCAAGAAGCTGATGCCTTCCAATCCTTATTGTTTCAGCACATATGTATCATCAATGAACACGGGAAAGAAAAATATCGAGTGTAAAGAAGCAAAAACTCCAGCCGCTGGATTTCCAGATAACATCGTTCTTCCCACTCTTTATATTCAGGAAACCAGCATGTAAAGCCCGTCTCCCCGGGCATCTTCGTGATAGAAAAGGAAAAAAAAAAAAAAGGTTTAAGAGAACTTGCTTCCTTTTCTGAGATTATAACATAAAGAATATATGTTCTAGTTCAGGAAGAGAGAGCAGCACTTGTATTTGACTTGTTCCAAATTCAACACTGTATCTTATGACTCATAAGATCTGCCCCCCTTCACCCTCCTGAACTATGCCTTCCTTTGTTTCAATACACTCTACCTGGTGACGCTTCCCAGAGACACCCCCACCTAGTTACCCAAATATTTTTCACCCAACTTTTTTTTAAGACTATTTTTACAGTATTTTACAGTACTAAGAAGCTGCAAGCCTTGTAGCTTTAGCCCTGAGCCCCTGCACTAACAACACAACTAGGCTCCCATACTAAAAACGGAAGGTGGGACAGCTTAACAAGATCTCCTGTTTGCACGTTTCTGGCAGGACATTATTATCTGCTTTGACAAAGCCTTTGAGAAGTGCAGGGTACAGTGCATCTTAATGATGTTATGAAATGAGCCTTCACTGGCTGCTCTTGAGCTGTGCTTCCGGTTTGTGATGACAGCATGTCATGTGTGCATGGATGTGCTCAACTGTGCTTAATACTCTGAATTTTAATTGGAGAAAACACAATGGCAGCAAGGCCCGTGCTCCTGAGCTGAATCCCTTTAATTCACGTGGGACACGGGCAAATGGCAGAATTGAACGAGAGAGTGTTTTCAACAATCAGCACTAAGCAAGTGCAAATTTTTCCTCTTAGTTGCATGGAAGGGTAAGACACAGTGAAGTATTGTCATAAACATGAACAAAGGCTAACTAGTTTGTTAAGTGTCCTGAGACTTCTCACACAGTCCACGGTGTCATAGGAAGCAGCCCTCATATACAGCTTTTTAATAAATAACACTTTTTTCTGTTACCACCACTGTATCAGATGTTTCCTAATTTGTAGGTTTTTTAAATTGAAAATAAGTTCAAGAGTCAACAGAGCTGTTTTTCTCACTCCCTAAAAGGAGCAAGTAAAATAAATAACTAACAGTCTTTGTTTGGTTTTGAACTGTATGTGGTATACTGTTGTAATGTTCTGGCCTCCTTTAAGCTAATGAAAAAGAAAGAAAGAAAGAAAGAAAGAAAGAAAGAAAGAAAGAAAGAAAGAAAGAAAGGAAGGAAGGAAGGAAGGAAGGAAGGAAGGAAGGAAGGAAGGAAGGAAGGAAGGAAGGAAGGAAAGCAAACTGACTACTATGTTTTATAACTGCTTACCTCTTCTCTCCTACCCTCATATTTTTATAGACTTTTAGTCACTGAAATGCCTATGAGCCAGTAGCTTAAATGTACTGCTGCATGTACCTAGCCTGTGGTTAACCTGGACTAAGTCCCAAATATGCACTAATAAAAACAGATATTAAACTGGGCTACATCTGTTGCTTTCTTTTCTTTTCCCTCCTTAAATTGTTTTGTAAGAACAAGGAATTTTACTTGTGAAAGATTTCCCTGCTTATGTGAGTCCCAGTCGAAGAAGAAAACAAACCACACCCAGCTATCCCACGGGGAGAGTCACCATGGGAACCCTTTCTGGCTTTGTTCCCTAGAAGAGTTGGTACCCAAGTTACTGTTTAACAATTGTGCAGAACTGAAGTACTAAAATTAAGGTTCTGAATATAATTTTCCACTAGCCATATTTACATCAGAAAACCCAGAAAAAATAAGACACACATTTGATGTTACAGCAGAAATAAATAAGCCATAAAGTTTATGGCATGAAAATTTTTTCTTAAAAATCCTGAATTCTAGGGGCTAGAGAGATCACTCAGCGATTAAGAGCACTGACTGCTCTTGCAGAGGACCCGGGTTCGATTCCCAGCACCCACATGGCAGGTACCACCCATCCTTAATTCCAGTTCCAGGGGAATTCGATGCCCTCTTCTGACCTCCTCAGCATTGCACGACACAGGCACACTCACACACATGCAGGCAATACACTCATACACATAAAATAAAAATAATAAATAAAATATATGTATTTTAAAAACCCTGAATTCTAGTAAGCATTATTATCATTTGTGAGGATTATGTTTATTCAGATCAGAAAGGAAATTGATCCACTTCACAAAACTTCGAGGGTATGTACAGTTAGAAATAAAATAAAAAATAAATGCTCAAGAAGTTTCATCATTCCTGCAGTCTGACAGTGAGGAGCAAGAATACCATCCAGGAAAAGTAGTGCTTCCTTTGCACTGAAACACTCTGGTCTGTTTACTAGACTACTCCAAAAGTACAAAATCTTATTACCCGACTATCAAAAGTGTAAAATCATATACCCAATTAACAACAAATCCATTTACTAATTTAGCGTTTTAAGGGTGATTAGCCCGGATTGCCTGCCTTTGTTGCTTTCCATGCTGTAACACCACACTCTAACAAAAGCCATTTAAGAAAGAAAGTGCTAATTTAGTTCAGAGGTCCAGGTTACAGTCCATCGTGGCAGGGCAGCTGCAACGGCTAAGGGACATGACCACACTGCATCCAAGGTCAGAAACAGAAAGATGAACGCATAGCTCACTTTCTCTATTTCACACAGTCCAGGATTCCCTGCCTGGGGATGGTCCCACCACAAATAAGATGGGTCTGTCCACATCAGATAAGAGAATCCTCCACAGGATGCACAGAGATTCCATCAAACTGACCATTGACATCAACACACAGCTAGGGCTGGAGCCTGCAGTGAGCCCTGGATCCTGGGTTGACTCCAGGCCAGGATCCTGACCAAGCCAGGAGCCTGCTGACCACTGCAGTGGCCCTCTGGGAAGGGGTTTCTTTTACCCAAGGTGCTTTTGTTCTTGATGTTTGAAGTGCATGGTTTTTTCTGCAAGGAGTAGTTTTCCTCAGAAATGAAAGGCAAACATGAAGATAGGTTGGGGTGCAGAGATCCTACATTTTCCAAGTGGAAGAGAGAAGCCCAAACTCACGTCAGTGATGAGTGCTAAGAAATGACTGGCTGTGCGTGTGGCTGTGCGTGAAGAAGGTGAGTGTGCAAGGCCGGCAGGAAGCCTGGCTTTGAAAAGAAGACCTGGGCTGGAAGGCTGTTTAAGGGGGGTTGGGGTGCACCCCAGTGGTGTTGAGCTCCGTGCTGAATTCAATCCCCAACACAGAAAGAAAAAAGGACAGGAGAGACTTGTGCTCCCGTTTGCCCCAGCAAAGAGCAATCCAGGGAGCAGGAATTAGTTGTCAATTACTTTGTAACAAAACATCCCCAGGCAGAATAGCTAAAGGACAGTAGGCGTTCATCTGTCAGGTCTTGTGCACATGGGGGGATGGATGGCCTTCTTGCTTCTGCTCTATGATGTCCAGTGCTCTGGATGGAACACCTGAAGTTTGAGGACTTTGACAAAGTGATACCAAACTGCCTAGTGGGGCAGCCATTAACTACACATGGTGATTTAGTTAGTGCTAAATAAAACCAGAACTATACTTCCTCGTTCGTCCAGCTCTGCTGTCATTGTGTGTCACCCACTTGGCTAGGACAGACTCGGGTCATTCCCTTCTCACAGAAGACTCTATGGTAACCCCAACCTGAACGTTTGCTTATTGATGTTGGCTATCAGCTGCAACCTTAGCTAAGTCGATCAACTGGAACTCTCACATGTGACCTTTGTAGAAGGCCCAGGCTTCCTCACAACATGGCAGCTGACTTCTAAAGGCAGAAAGGGGAGAGGTAGGGAGGGAGGAAGCCAGGGAAGGAACTATATTGCATTTTATGTAACAGGCTCCCTTCTCCCACAGTTTTTAAAGTTAAGCATTACAAAGGAAGGAAACAGACTACCACAACTTAATAGAATAGCAATATCACACAAACTCAAGTGGAATGTCATATATACTGCTGCAACAGCCTTCAGAAAACCCAGTCTCCCACAAAAAAGTTATGTGTCCTGCACATTTCCTATTAATAAGATCAGTGAAGTTGATTATTCAGTGGTCATAATGTGAAAACATCTGCTTATGTATATTTTTGTGTGTATACAATGCATATAATGCTTATGTATATTTTTGTATGTGTATATATATAAAATTGTATAAATATGAGATATATGCATCAGAAAATGGAAAGAGATCCAACCAAAATTCAAGGGGCTTCTACTTCAATGAGATTTCTAGTTCAGTGGTGTGGAGCATGCAGAGACATTCCTTCTAAGGTGAAGGTTAAATCCTTCCACCTGGCCCCTCCCTCCACCAAGAAAGAAGCCCAGCGCTTAGCGGGCCCAGTTGGGGTTTGGAGGCAGTACGTTCCTCCCTTGGGTGTGCTAATCCTACCCATACAGTAAGTCACTCACTTGGAAAATAGCTAATTTTTATTTATTTATTTTTAATTTTACGTGTATGAGTATTTTGCCTGAATGTATGTAGGTGCACCACATATATGCAATGCCTTTGGAGACCAGAAGAGGGTGTTGAATCCCCTGGAACTGGAGTTAGGGACAATTGTAAACCACTGTGTGCAAAACTGGGTCCTTTGCAAGAGCAGCTAACTCTCTTAACTGCAGAGCCATCTCTCCAGCCCCTAAGGAAAACTGTTAGTTTTGAGTGGGGCCTGGAACAGAGCAGGGCTCTAGAGTAAATCCCGCCTACTGTACAGGCTGCTCTAACACTTGGTCCATACGATCTAGCATATTGTGTGTTACTTGAAGTGTCAGTGGCATATAGGGATGCTGTTTGAGGTCCCTGTCAGGTCCCTAGGGGTGACTCACAGTGCAAGCCCTTGGTATTTTAGAGAAAGTCTCTACCATCACCTGCAGACCACTATTCTTTTGAGAGACCACCCTTGGCCTGTAGAACCCTGAGACCCTCTTCATTCACCCACTACCCCCCAATCCCTCCAGACCCCCACTAATTGCTCTTTTAGCTTCTGTAAAAATGCTTGGCTGCTGCTTTAGACATGCATAAGGTAAAAATGGAGACTCCTGGCCCCACAGGTAACAGCACATTACACAGCCCTGAGAATAGCACCTACCAATAAGAAACTTACAGGGCTGCATCTTATACATCCAATCGGTTTAAAAATATGTTGGTGCGCACGGGCTTCTTGAACCAACCAAAATGTATCTTCGGTATCTCCCCCTCCCCCTTTGTCTAAAACCTATAAAAGGCTCCACTCTCCCTTACTCTGGGCTCTCAGCACGGATCCATTGAGTTGGTGAGGTCTGAGAGCCCGAGCTTAAGCCCGAATAAACCATAAACCTTTGCTTTTGCATTTTGGTATGTTGGGTCCTCGGTGGTCTTTTTGGGGTCCAGTGGATGAGGTACAACAGGCTTACTGTTGAGTTCTAGTGGAAACTGAATGACAACAGGCTACCAAGTTACCATAAGACCTGAGCTGCTTCATGAGCTGGGTGTTATCTGACCCACCAAGCTGTAAAGTTGGACATGCACAGCAGCATTCCATCATCAAACGGAAGTGGTGTTACAGGTTTTTTAAGCTAGAGTCACCCAGAAGAAGGAAATGAGTGAGGTTCCTCCCTTAGACTGGCCTGCAAGAATGTCTGTGAGGCATTTTCTTAATTGTTAACTGATGTTGGCGGGTCCAGCCCACTGTGGGGGGTGCCATCCCTAGGCAGATGGGCCTGGGCTATGTAAGAAAGAGAGCTGAGCAAGCCAGGGACACAAGCCAGTAATCGGTGTTCCTCCATGGTCTCTGCTTCAGCTCTTGCCTCGGGTTCCTGCCTTGAGTTCCTGCCCTGACTTCCCTCAGTGATGGACTGTGACCTGTAAGAGGAAAGTACATATGTGATTGAGTTTATAATCTCATGCCCAGAAACAGTAATCACCAAGTAAATTAGTAGACATTTTTAAAACAAGCTAACAAATGCCAATCAGCGCAGCTTTACAATGGAAGCTGCTCAGCTTCCTAGTATTGAGTGACAGTTGGTTGGCTGAAAAAGAAATAATGGGTCTTTATTTTAGCAAGGTCCTGCCTTGTCAAAAATATTCCTCAATAGCCTGAGAAAATGGCTTGCACCACAAAGCTACAAGTTCTCATGGTTGTTCTCAGAGGAACCTGCCACAAATGTAATCTGGCAGATAGCAAAGGTTCTAGCCTCAGGCCCACCCAAATCACATGAGAAATTTGGCTGCAACTGTGTGTCCACAGCTTGGATCAACTCATGTGATGCTTAGGTGAAAGTGGGTGTCTCTGTCTTAGACATAAAGAAATGAGGATCAGAGAGGCTGAAGGATTCACCCAAAGTTGTACAGCGTTGTTCCAAGCCAGAAACTGAATCAGTGCTATTCGACTGCTGAGTCACCACGTACTTTACCCCGAATCCAAGCTCTAGGCAGATAGTGTTTATACAACTTGTTTGTTTGTTTGTTTTTGTTTGTTTGTTTTG